TTCAGTCAGTAATAATCCCGAAATTCGTGGCTCTGGAAAAAATTCCGGGCGCAAATGGGATAAATATGCTATTTACTGGTGGCATTTCCTTAGTTATAGGACCTATAATAGGTAAGCATAGATAAAGTTTTAAGTGGCTGAATAAAAATGATTGATTTTTTTTTCGAAGGTTACTATGACACCGTTTTTTTTCTCGACCATACAGTATTTTAATGGCACATGTTTTTTGATGAATTTCTTTTTTATTATACAGGGTATTCACAAAATGAACGGTCAAATTTCAGGAGATAATTCCTCATCAAAAAAAATTGAAAAAAAGTTCCTATAAACATGGCTCCGTTGCCTAGTTTTAAGTATACAGGGTGTTAAAATTTTCAGGTGTTGAGAAATCACCACTTTAAATTTGGCTTGGAAAATTGGATTGATATTTCAAAGGCTACTGTGACACCGTTTTTTTATCGTATAGTATTTTAATGGCACATTTTTTTTGATGATTTTTTTTCTTATTATACAGGGTATTCTCAAAATGCACGGTCAAATTTCAGGAAAAATTTGGAACAAAGTTCCTATATACATGGCTCTAAAAATGCCTAGTTTTAAAGATACAGGGTATTAAACTTTTTAGGTGTTAATAACGATTTTTGATAAGAAATCGCCCCTTGAGATTTGGCTTGGAAAATTTTATGGATTGATATTTCAAAGGCTGCTATGATGCCGTTTTTTTTTCGGCCATACAGTTTCTTAATGGCACATGTTTGCTGTTTTTTTTTATTATACAGGGTATTCACAAAATGCACGGTTAAATTGAACCCTGATCAAAAAAAGTTGGTAAAAAGTTCCTATAAACATGGCTCCGTTGCCTAGTTTTAAGTATACAGGATGTTAAAATTTTCAGGTGTTGAGAAATCACCACTTTAAATTTGGCTTGGAAAATTGGATTGATATTTCAAAGGCTACTATGACACCGTTTTTTTTATCGTATAGTATTTTAATGGCACATTTTTTTTGATGATTTTTTTTCTTATTATACAGGATATTCTCAAAATGCACGGTCAAATTTCAGGAAGAATTTGGAACAAAGTTCCTATATACATGGCTCCAAAAATGCCTAGTTTTAAAAGATAGGGTATTAAACTTTTAGTGTTAATAACGATTTTTGATAAGAAATCGCCCCCTTGAGATTTGGCTTTGAAAAATTTTATGGATTGATATTTCAAAGGCTACTATGATGCCGTTTTTTTCGACCATACAGTATTTTTAATGGCACATGTTTTTTTGATGAATTTCTTTTTTTAGTATACAGTGTATTCATTAAATGAACGGTCAAATTTCAGAAGCTGTACTCCCCATCAAAAAAATTGGAAAGTTCTATAAACATGGCTCCTTGTTGCCTAGTTTTGGCATACAGGGTGTTAACATTTTTAGATTGAGAAATCACCACTTTAAATTTGTCTTGAAAATTGATTGATATTTCAAAGGCTACTATGATGCCGTTTTTTTATCGTATAGTATTTTAATGGTACATTTTTTGATGAATTTTTTTCTTATTATACAGGATATTCTCAAAATGCATGGTCAAATTTCAGGAAGAATTTGGAACAAAGTTCCTATAAACATCGCTCCAAAATGCCTAGTTTTAAAGATACAGGGTATTAAACTTTTAGGTGTTTAACAACGATTTTTGATAAGAAATCGCCCCTTGAGATTTGGCTTGAAAATTTTATGGATTGATATTTCAAAGGCTACTATGATGCCGTTTTTTTTCGACCATACAGTATTTTAATGGCACATGTTTGAAGAATTTCTTTTTTAGTATACAGTGTATTCACAATGAACGGTCAAATTTCAGAAGCGTACTCCCATCAAAAAAAAATTAAAGTTCTATAAACATGGCTCCGTTGCCTAGTTTTAAGTATACAGGGTGTTAACATTTTTAGATGCTGAGGAAATCACCACTTTAAATTTGTCTTGAAAATTGGATTGATATTTCAAAGGCTACTATGATGCCGTTTTTTTATCGTATAGTATTTTAATGGTACATTTTTTGATGAATTTTTTCTTATTATACAGGATATTCTCAAAATGCACGGTCAAATTTCAGGAAGAATTTGGAACAAGTTCCTATAAACATCGCCCAAAAATGCCTAGTTTTAAAGATACAGGTATTAAACTTTTTAGGGTGTTAATAACGATTTTGATAAGAAATCGCCCCCTTGAGATTTGGCTTGAAAATTTTATGGATTGATATTTCAAAGGCTACTATGATGCCGTTTTTTTCTCGACCATACAGTATTTTAATGGCACATGTTTTTTGATGAATTTCTTTTTTTAGTAGAGTGTATTCACAAAATGAACGGTCAAATTTCAGAAGGTAATTCCTCATCAAAAAAAATTGGAAAAAAGTTCCTATAAACATGGCGCCGTTGTCTAGTTTTAAGTATACAGGGTGTTAACATTTTTAGGTGTTGAGAAATCACCACTTTAAATTTGGCTTGGAAAATTGGATTGATATTTCAAAGGCTACTATGACACCGTTTTTTTATCGTATAGTATTTTAATGGCACATTTTTTTTGATGATTTTTTTTCTTATTATACAGGATATTCTCAAAATGCACGGTCAAATTTCAGGAAGAATTTGAAACAAAGTTCCTATATACATCGCTCCAAAAATGCCTAGTTTTAAAGATACAGGGTATTAAACTTTTTAGGTGTTAATAACGATTTTTGATAAGAAATCGCCCCTTGAGATTTGACTTGGAAAATTTTATGGATTGATATTTCAAAGGCTGCTATGATGCCGTTTTTTTTTCGGCCATATAGTTTCTTAATTGCACATTTTTTTTGGTATTTTTTTTATTATACAGGGATTCACAAAATGCACGGTTAAATTGAACTCTGATCAAAAAAAGTTGGAAAACAGTTCCTATAAACATGACTCCAAAAATGTCTAGTTTTAAAGATACAGGGTGTTATAAGATTTTTAGGTGTTAATGGAATGGTTGACCTGGAAAATGTTATGGATTGATATTTCAAAGGCTACTATGACACCGTTTTTTTTTCGATCATTCAGGATTTTAATGACACATAATTTTTGATGATTTTCCTGTTTATTATATTATATTTAGCGTGATTTTATTTTTTTGTGTTGTAGGTGTGATTCACGATAAGACTGGTTCGTATTTTTATGCATTACATGCATCTACAGTGTTGTCACTTTTATGCGTGACGCTCTGGATTGTGGAGTTGATTTACGAAAAAAGACGAGATAGAAGTGCCAAAGTATGACGTTGATTATGTCAATAGGAATGTTTAGTTTAATTTATTTTATGTTAAAAATATTATAAGATATAAATATAAATAATTTTGTTGAGATTGAGTGATATAAAAATAAGTACCAGTGAGTTTTTTATACATTTATTGAAATAAAAATGTATCGATGTTTGTGTTTTTCTTGTACCATCGATGATAATTTTGACGAGGTCAAGCCCTATTATAGACGTCATATACTTGGTTGTAATTTATTTTTGTATTGAGTCAAAAATGATTTTTAAATGGTGTAATTTAAAGTTAGAGAAAAAATAATTTTTGGAAAATACACGAAATGATCGAAAAACAAACGGCGTCAGCGATGGCTATGAAATGAAGATCACTATGGGAAATGTTATTGATAGTTATTTCCAAGCTAACTGGACGCCGTTTTTTTTTTTCGATCATATGGTATTTGTATATCGGGAAACGTAATATCGTTTTTAATATTTCTATAATTAGTAATGGTGATTTGAAAAATGATGTCTATAGAGATTGACCTCGACAAAATTATCATCAATTACCATTCTCCAGCCGTCTTTGATGTCGTTTTTTTTCGATCATATGGTATAAATATGTAAAAAAAACGATATTCTTATTTGTGAAAATAAAAGTAGATTAAAATAAAGCACTAAACCAAGATATTTTCAAAGTTAATTTTAGAAACTAATGAATATAGAGTTTACAAAAATGCTTTTTATTTTTTTTATAACCACTAGTGGGTAAATGAATTTCTAGATATATTACGCATTTTTTGGAACTTTAGTTTCAGGAATGCAAATTTAATCGGACCTTTTTAAAAAAAAAATAATTTTATTTTTCAGAAACTATTTGAGACAGAGTTTACCAAAATGCTTTTTTATATCTACTATTTTTTTTTCTATAAATAAATTAGTATTACAATTTTTTTGTGGAACTTTAGTTTTCAAGGGGTATTAATTTTAATCGGACCTTTTAAGAGAAATTAATTTTATTTTCAGAAATTATTAGAGACAGAGTTTACCAAAATGCTTTTTATAACTACTAAATTGGGTAAGAATGGTTTTAAGATATATTTTGAATTTTGGAACTTTTAGTTTCGGAGATATAAATTTAATCGGACCTTTAAAAATTAATTTTGTTTTCAGAAACTGTTAGATATAGAGTTTACAAAAGATGCTTTTTATAACTACTAGTGGGTAAATGAATTTCTAGATATATTACGAATTTTTGGAACTTTAGTTTTTCGGAGATATAAAAGATTTAATCGGACCTTTTTAAAAAAATAATTTTATTTTCAAGAAACTATTTGAGACAGAGTTTACCAGAAAATGCTTTTTTCTTATATCACACCAGTGGAGTGGATAAGGATTTTCCTAGATATATTTTAATTTTTGGGACTTTTAGTTTCGGAGATATAGAATTTAATCGGATCTTTTTAAAAAAAAATTATTTTATTTCCATTGTGGAGACAAGTTTACAAAGTAACTTATCTCACTAGTGGGTAAATGAATTTGTAGATATATGTTTCTTGGACTTTGGTTTCGGAGATATTAATTTAATCGGACCTTTTGTGGGGCAATTTTATTTTCAGAAACTATTTGAGGCAGAGTTTACCAAAATGCTTTTTATATCAAATAGTTTCTAAAAAAAAATATTCTTTGATATTACGAATTTTTTGAACTTTAGTTTCGAGGAGATATAAGTGTGTCGGACCTTTTTAAAAAAATTAATTTTATTTTCAAAACTATTAGATATAGAGTTTACAAAATACTTTTATAACTACTAATTGGGTAAATGAATTTCCCTAGATATATTACGCATTTTGGAACTTTGGTTTCAGGAGATACTCATTTAATCGGACCTTTAAAAAAATTATTTTATTTTCAGAAACTATTTGAGACAAGGTTTACAAAAATGCTTTTATATCTACTAGTGGGTAAGTAGATTTGTAGATATATTACGACATTTTTTGGAACTTTAGTTTCGGAGATATTAATTTAATCGGACCTTTTAATAAAATTAATTTTATTTTTCAGGAAACTATTTGAGACAGAGTTTACCAAAAGTAGCTTTATATCTACTAGTGGGTAAATGAATTTCTAGAAATACGAGATTTTTGGAACTTTAGTTTCGGAGATATAAAATTTAATCGGACCTTTTTAAAAATTAATTTTAATTTTCAGAAACTGTTAGATATAGGAGTTTACCAAAATGCTTTTTAAACTACTAATTGGGTAAAATATATAATATAAAAAAAAAAAAAATTTTTGGAACTTTAGTTTCAGGAGACCAAATTTAATCGGACCTTTTAAAAAATAATTTTATTTTCAGAAACTATTTGAGACAAGGTTTAAAAAATGCTTGCCATATCTACTAAGGTGGGTATATGAATTTGCAGATATATTACGACATTTCTTGGAACTTTGGTTTCCGGAGATATTAATTTAATCGGACAGCACAGAGAAAATTAGTTTACCAAGAGAGGTAATGCGAGACAGCAATACGTAAC